GGAGGAAATACTTGTACTTTCGGTCCTTACTTTAATTAAAAGGGTTTCTTTGTATCGTTTCTTACGGAGACAGCTTGGTAGGAACGTGAATCATAAATATATTTATTTATTTGATTAAGGATACATGAAATAAGTACTCTTAGAATAATATTTATGAATCAGAGTGATGTTTTAATCTCTCTTATAGATGATATTATGAATGATAGTAATTAGATGAGCTATAACCGACCCTGCTGGGGTACGGGTTGTTACAATGCAGCTATTTCTAAAAATGAGTTTAATTCATTTTACTTTGGACAAAATAGAAGTTATTATTTTAACCAAAATATTTGAGATTTGAATCCCGTTTCATCATATGATTTTTGTTAGTTAGTGGATGCAGGAGGGAGCCATGTCGTGTGCAATCGATTAATCCAATTATAGTGTTCCAAACATATTGTACCTACCAAAAATTTAAAAAAAAAAAGAAAAATAAAATTAGATATATTGCCTTATGAAATCTATATATACATATACAAGTGAAATTTGAAATTTTCATGAGACATTTTTTAATTTTTTGAAATAATAAATTTTAATATTTTAAAATATAAATTTTCTAAATAAAGAATAGAAATTTATTTTTAGTAAATTGTTCAAAACATTTTTTTTTTTCTATTATATCAGTCACTTTTTTTTTTCTTCCATTAATATTTAAATTTAGTGTTATGAAATGGTAAGTTTTATCTTTATTTGTAACATCCAACCTTTCCTTTTTTTTTCTTTTTATTAATTATTATTATATGAATATAATTATTATTTATGTAATTTTAAATTGAATTTAATTTATTTTAATAGAAATAATAATAATAATAATAATAATAATAAGGGGTAAAAATTGTTCAAAGATTTAATTGAAAATAATTTTGGAAAAAAAGGGTGAAAATTTGTATTCTGATGGCATTTTTAAAAGAAAAATCGGAAATTGGGAGGGTCAAAACATAATTTAGAAAAGTTGTGCCACGTTAGTTGCCCGGTCAGCAGCTCTGGCCAACCAAGACGCGCCAGGTGGCAAAGACACTGATGCGGGAGGGAGCCACGTGGGCGATCCGTGTGTGTGCGATCGAACGACTGAGATTCGTTCTCGCGCGCACGGACGGCCCAGATAAAAAACGCACACGGACGGCCTAGATTGCATCGCGCACGGGCGGCCTAGATTGAATCGCGCACGGACGGTCCAGATTGAATCGTAATGAACGGTCCAAATTCACTCCCTATTTAATCGCGATCGGACAACTCAAATCAAAAGCGGATGGGTATAAATAACCTCATCCTCACCCAAACCCTAACCCTAGCCGCCAGAGCCCCACGCCGGAGAAGATAGCCCAACTGTCGGGGAGTTGATCGCCGCCACCCGCCACCGTACCGGAGCAATTTTCAGCCGCCAAATGAGGTAA